AAACAGAAACTCGATGAACAGTACGGCAAGAGCCCAGAAGCAACAATTGCTAACAGGCACACAATCGTCAATACTTCAAAGAAAATCTTAACCAGACCAAAAGAATAATTGCTAGTCAAGCGCTTGAACTCTGTGCTAACATCCAGACACGATTGTTCGATGTCGTTGCCGCTGTTTAAACTATTGTCGTGCCTCAAACACATGTTGAGCTCTGGCTGCGCCTGAGAAAAACAGCTTGTTTAAAAACATCCCAGCGGACACCCACTCTATAGTCCACGTCTAGAAGATCGATGAGGTCTTTAACCAAGGCAACAATCGCTTAATACATAGGGATCCAACATCAGCCATGGAAGAAAATAAACAGATTGCTTAGGAACAACAAACCATCCCCGATAACCTGCGACCCTAGCAACACCACCCCAGGATATAGCCCCATAGCAATCTGCCTCACCAACCAACATAATGGTCACATATCTTCATGAGATACTATACACAACTCCAACACTTGTGTACAAAACTAACATTATTTTGTTGAACGTTCAACAACAATTTAACTACGAGACTCCGAAATTTCCACTGAAGTCGTCATCGTAGCAAACTATCTTAAATGCTTATTGTCCGATATATTCCGTATTCTATGTTCGCTTTTTACGTCTTCTATGCTTTGTCCATGGAGTTGGTCATTAAACTGAGGCTATCATCGCTTTGTAGGGATCACACAGTCGATGCGGGTATTGCAGTGGAGACAACTTCTTACATTTGTTATGTTCATGCCTCTCACAAGRCGATAAAGACATTATTTCAACTTTGTCTTAGGATAAATATTACGTCTCTTCATAGACACCACTATGTGTGRCTATTTTWTGTGTTGAGCAGCTTTCAGCATATAATTCTTTGAGCTCGTGYTTAAACAGGGATATTTATGCTTACTTTCCATTCCCCTGATAATCATTTCTGGTCGTATAYCTTATTAAACAGTATATGCATTTATCTATTGATTCGCCATTATATKTAAAAAKAAGTTGCTGATTCCTGCWCTTGGTTCATTCAAAATAACATTTATACATATAGGTMCTCGTCATGTTTSATATTTCTTAAGTATTTATCCCGAAACTGACTCTTACTGATTCGGGTTTTATATTTGTTAATATGTGTTGACGTCTTTGTGGTAGGGATACGTGATTCTGWGGCTTCTAAGTTAAGAATGTGCTTTATTTCCCATTCCATAAGTGATTTAATTTCTTAGATGAACCATTTCTTTCTGTTAGGTTCTCCGTTTTGATTCACTCTCACAACTCTCTGAGGACTCTTCGATTTTAATGGTGTATTCTCTCGGGAGTTTTCCAGTTTCTTCTTAAGTATCTGCTTCTGTGGCTGATACGTTACTCTATCGTAGTTTGGGCCTGTGACTAATTTTATTGCGTTGCTGTCGATGTGTATGTGTTCGCTGGGAACCATATTGGTCACAACTTTGGTCTTTTCAAAATTTATAGTTAGTCCGATTATTTGTGATGTCGTTTTTGTAGCATATCTTTAGCTTCTCCCAATTCTCTGATATAATGCAAGTGCATAAACGATATCTGCAAAAAGCAGGTGGTTGAGTCTCTCTCCGCCGATGTGTATTCCTTTATGTTGCCATGCTAGCTTTTTAAATGCGTGTATGTATTCTTCATATATAGACTTGATTATGTTGCAGTATCGTTGGTCAATTACACGTTCCTGTGGTGTTCGTACTATAATCAGTGATGTGGGGCGGTTATATTCTATGATTTTTCATAGATCATTTTCATTCAAGGTTTTCAAGCACTGCAAATGATCGTTTCTGCCGTACTTGGAACAGAATCCAATCCTTTAGTCTATTTGTGATAATTTGGGTGTACAATTTATCAAGGTGGTAAGAAGGCTAATTGGTCTGTAATATTCCAGATTTGCTATATCTCCCTTCTTGTGTTTTATAACTGAGTCTACATTCTCTTGGGATATCTTGACTTTCCAGGTATAGACTAAAGAGCTTTTTCGCCTTGGTCATCAGATCCGACACGTCAATCTTTAGCTCTTCTGTGACGACACCAACGTCCCCAGCTTTGTTATTCTTCTGAATTCGAATGAAACTTCTGTAATTCCGGTGATATATACCTTGACTTGGGCATACCCACTCAGTATGGTAACTTTTCTTCTAACAAATGGTAAATTGTATGTGCAGCATACTGTAATTAATTATCAATTTGGTAGATAGTAGCTATAAGGACTTCAGAAATCCCGACAGTCTCGAGTTATATAACGAAGATGGCACATTAGAAAGGAGCCCTGAATGTCTACGTGTTGGTCGATAGGACTCTCCAATGTTACGTATTACATCTCCAATGTTAGTACTTACCGATTATTCCTGCGGGGTAATTGGCCTTCGGGTATTTTTTATTGAACCATATTACATCTATATAAACATACAGATAATACATTGAACCATAAACAGAACCATATTCGGTCCATATTAAAATAATGCATCTTAATTTTAAGTGGGCATACTATTACATATAATGACAGGGTCACAATAAAGTCGGGTTGTGATATTTGCAGTTTCTATATCTACAAGTACAAATTACTACTCATGGGAGATTGTATCAGTTCTACATTCATTTGAATACCTAGGGTTCTAAATAACCTAATTAATTCAGCAGAATTTTCTGAATCTAATGGGGCATTGTCTGTATAGACAATCCATAAACTAGCGTGTAGATTGCTGTGAGTGCAATACGACAAAATACTAGCTGTAAAACTTTGAATTAGATTCGGAGATTCAAGTCTTTTACAAAATTCGTATGGAACAGTTTGATGAGTCGTAAGGCATCTAGAAAAGGTAATTGGTGGTGAACCTTTATATACATCCCATGGCTGAAAAAGCGATGTTTGAACGCTTGTAATGCCATGAATGTTTTGGGCCTTCCGCAGCCATGGAGCTAATACTTCAACTAGCTGAAAAATGCCAATACCAATTAGATGTTACTTTTTGCAAAACATCTATCAGTATAAAAGTCGGCCAAATACTAAGGCCGATATGTTTAGCCGATCTTTTACCGGCCTTCCAACATTCGCTGGAGGCACACCCGATCGGTTGAGCATCTGACTCACGCCCATTATAATGTTATTGGAAGATGCGGTGGGAATTTGTCGGTGATGGGTGTAGGCATCTCCAAGCGATCGCCAAAGCTATTTTGTGAGCGAAAGTTCCCAACTTATCGGGTTTTTTATGATATTTTTGTTTTACATATATAGATAAGAATCTCGATGTATTGTACAGTGTTAATCGGGATAATTCAGACTTGGAATTAGATTTAAACATACCACAAAGGTACGTAAAGAAAACCAACAAGCGTGATATGCGATTCAAATAACAGTGGCATTATTTTCAAGTATATTCGAGATATGGAAAATACCTTAAAGAAATGAACTGAATACGATTTTGAGAAAACGCTTTCGCTTCTCAAAGGAAAATGTGCAAAATGTTTTGTTGCCATCAATCACCAGGAACAAATCACAAATCCAGGTCGAGGTCGTCCTGTTCTTTTAGTAATAGATAATTTTAATGAATTTTATTGTCAGTCCCTACTTGGTGGAAAAAATTAAGCTGTATGTATTATGTGTTGTTGAAATAATAATAATAAAAAACAAATTTATTACTGCATTACATTTTTTTAATATTTAGAAATAAAGTTTCGGAATCAATTGGTTGAATTTTCTCAACGTTAACAACGGATTTCACCGCTAATATGTCTTTTAAGAAAATATTGTTATTTTGCGATTTATTTCAACATTATCTATAATCTTCGAGGCAACTAGCGCTAATCATTTCGGCGATTCCACCTAACGAAGAACAGCTTTCGCTATCGGCCAAAACAATATCCGGCAAAGTTCCGAAGATCGGCTAAACATACCGGTCTACTAAGAGACATGTAAATTACTAAAAATGATATGCATTAAAACCGGTAAAATGTTCATGGTCCGAGCCGAGCGTCTTGTGAGCTCCGTCTACCGGATTTTAATTTTTTTAAGGTTTTTAAGGTTTGAGGTAGGACGTATTAGAATGTGCATTAGGAGAAATGGAAAATCTCTCTTTTCAACTGAATTGTGCGTCAAGTTGGGAGGTTCTTGTTTGCAAAAAATAATCGTTATAATAAAACCAAAGCTCAAAAGCTCACCAAAATGGAAAAACCTTTAAAAAGTTTTCTCGCAAGTGAAGTACTGGAATACATTCGCGAAAACTTTGTGTCGTCAAACATTCCTGAAGGTAAACGCAAGTAAATAATTAAGCATTTATTGATTTTAAAGAAATACAAATGGAAAAAGTTAAAAATCAACGTGTAAATCCAACTACAGTTGAGTCCGGGTATAACGAACTTAAAAAATGAACTAAAACTGGTTCGTTATATCCGGAGTTCGCTATAAGCGAATAATAATACAAAAACACGTGGTGTATTTTATTTCGTTATTTTTACAAAGAGTAGTAGAAGTTAGTAGGTATGACTAAAAAGAACACAAAAAGATAAACAAAATTCAATTTGAAATCTACTTCATTTTTGTTTGTACATTTCTGCTGCAAAAATAGATATTATTTATGTAGTTTTCAAGATCACAAAATGACTCCCAGATATGATTAGGAACTTGGCGTGATTGTAGAAAATTCCGAGTTTCTGACACTTTTTTTGTCATTTCAGAAATGGTTGGAACAGCATTAGTGTCTACAGTAGAATCAGTTTCACCTAAATCGTCATCTTTCTCATTATCGCTTAAAGCTGTAGATGAGGTTACGGAGTCTATAATTTGCTCATCGCTCAACATTTCTCTTGTAAGAATGCCATTATCAATGCTCACATATTCGAAGAAATTGAAATCACTCAATTTGGTTTTAACTTGTTCTTCGACAACATTGGGACATCTTCGTCTGTGTCATATTCGTAGTCAGAGTCTTTATACTCTCCTAACCAGTCGTTAAGTGGAATTTCATCGTCTGGTTCATAATAATTTTCTTTTCTTACAAATCCACCATGCTTAAAGCAATTTGCAATGGTTTTTCAGCTAACTTTTTGCCAAGTTCTACGAATGAAATTGACTGCATCTAAGAGATTTATAGAAAATGTTTCATTTTTATCGATCGCCTCTAACATTTTCATAAGAATTTTTCTTACAATTTTACTTACAAAACTCTCCAACAATTTTTCCGCTACTGATATTATGCCTATTCTTGAAACGCTCTACCCAACTTCTAGAACAAACAAACTCTTTGTTTTTGATTTTACTGCCCATTTCACTAGCATTTTCTTGCAAAACACTGCCACTGATGGGAACGTTTTCTTGTCTTTTTTGAGTAAACCACTTTTGCCAGTCCCTTGTCAACCTTTCCATGTGCAGATAATTTTAACTTCCTACATCTAACATTTGCTTTGTGATACGCTGATAAAAATTTTTCTCTGTTTTTCCATATTGTTGCAACAGTAGACTTTCCAAGTGCTAACTCCATACACATGTCACTCTGCTTTACTCCACTTTTTATATTGTTAATAATCTCGTACTTTTCATTTAGTGAAAAAGCTTTGCGTTTTTGTTTTTCCATTCTAAAACGTTTTACATACATAACGCGGCAAAAAACAAGTCACTGCCTGTCTCTCGCTCTCACTAATATAAACAACTCCGCACTATTCGTTTTGCTGAGCGTGGAAGTTCGTTATAAACGGAAAGTGAATATACAACTAACCTAAAAAGTGATCGTTATATCCGGAAGTTCGTTATAAACGGATTCCTTATAACCAGTAAAAAAATACGTTGGTCTTTATGGATGACGTTTCAATTAATCGAAAAAAGTTCGTTTTAACCGAAAGTTCACTATAACCGGGTTCATTATAATATGAATTGCCTCTGAATTGCCGTTTCTACAAATATTCGGACTGACGCTACAGAGTATCCTTTAGAAACTTGTTCTTGAAGAGGTTTCAAACCGAATGGTTACACCACTAGAGTACACTCCTGTTGTAAAAACGGTAAAAAACCTGAATGATTTGTGATAGAACTATCAGTTGCTAGCCGTTTAATCGATAGTTTATTGTCGCTGTGTATTGCCACACGCTGAACTTTGGTCATATTTTTTTCATGATGTCACAAGGCGTTCAAACGCTCAGCTCGCGAATGACGATTTACCTCAAAATTTAAATATTTCTGCGCCAGGCGGAGCTTGTCGCAGTACTTACCTAGCGTATACGTGCCTTCACACTTACGCTCTTATCGCTCGCTTCGAGAACGACGCGTCGATCGCGCGTTTAAAAGTTGACGAAAAGTGTGGCGATCCAAGAGCGTGTCACTAGAATTGCAACGTTCTGATCACCAACTCTTTTCCCACGTGCCTCGCATGTGAGATGTGAGAGAAAAGTACGTAATTCAATTAAAAAAACGTAGTTTGATCTGTCACTTGAATTTGAGAAACCTTGTATCAATAATATTAACGTTGGCTAAACTAGACGTTAATATCTACAACTTTTGTATTTAATATGTTTCCCAAAATTTTAAATTAGATATAAAACCGAGGTGATAAAATTTGAATCAATAATGGTTATTAACTCTAAAAGAACTGAATTTCGCTAAAGAACATGTATATCGAATAGATCTAGAATAGTCGAACATGCAATAAAAAACGGCATTTGTTTGGCATAAAAAAATTGTTTGATCTGTTACCGACTTAAATTGGAGACACCCTGTAACAATTAGTATTGTCTTAAAATAAATTTATAGTGTTCCAACATCTCAGATTAGTAAAAAGGGATTAGTAAAAGCCCACCAAGTTCAATCAATAACCCCATACATGTAGACGCCACATTGCACATTGCTACCAATTTTTAACGACTGTGTAAGTTCATCTGGTACATACCTGGCCCACAACTAAATCTTTAGACTTTCCATTGAAAACTACTAAATAATTTCTGTCCAATTTGTAGATGGCTAAGCCTTCCTGTAAAATCTGTGCAACTGGTTGGATATTTTTGGTAATATATGAACAGATTTGTAGCACTGTAGGGGAATCTGCGAATATCAGATTATCTATGTCCAGTTGTGGTTGAGAATCACCTTGCCATTCATATATAGGGCTACAAAAAAACATAATTGTGACTTAGTGAAAACTACATGTGGGTGTAGTTTTACTTTTTATATGCCGGTAATTCATCCAGCTCATCGGCATCGAGTATCAGGGCTCTAGTACTAGGCTCCACAATTTCTCCAAACATCATCTTGAAAACCAGAAATGAAGTTTTTTAATAGTTAAATGACTTGCAAGTAATTATACCAAGTATTTTTCTGTTGTGCTTGCTAACTCGATTTTATAAGGTTAGGTTATAAATTAAAGTGTCAAAATTTGCAAAGTAAACAAGGGTACGTTCCAAGGTTTCTAAATTGTACAGGTTGTTTGGTTGTTTAGTAATCCTGAGCGTAGAGAGATGCGAGCGGAAGGTGTGACCTCACGTGCTTGCCGTGCAGTGGATTATGCTACTACTTATTAAAATACGTTTATTTTTGTTAAAACAAGATTACGTTTCTAATATTTCTGCTAATGGTGTTGTGTTGTTTCGACAAGTGCTATCGAGTACTAACCTAAGATAGAACAAATTAGCCTTCTGAAGTAAATTTTTAAAATATATACCCTACAATCAACCAATCAAATAGGTGTCCACACAAGTGGGCAGAGTAGAGTTCCTATTCAGATTTCCAAAAATTGTAAATACATATGAACCGGTTGATTTAATTCGTTAACGCCGTGTTGCCAAACCAGAAATTCGTCAAAGCACATTTTGGCTTTTGACTTTGACAATATGCACACTCCTTTTTGAGAGGTTATAGTGGAGGAAAGCATTAATGTTTAGAGATCATCAAGCCAGTATTTTCCTCGTTTCTCTGGCTTAGAGCAATTGAATTAGCATGCGGATTGAAGCGTGTTATTTTTGTTCGTCCCGGATATTTCCGGGACATGGAATCCAATTCGTGAGAAATGATTGCAAAGTAAGTGCCATTCCCCTGTTTAGCAGTAGCGCGTTTGAAGCATGTTCATGTGTAAAGTTTAAACCAAAATTTTTCTATTTATTCTTAACGTCAAACAATTTCAATAAATCGTAATGTCTTTTGCTTAAAGGTATTCAAATTTTGCCGATCAAAGTGTCACGCTGCCTTTAAAAAGAAGAAAAATCCACGCAAAGTTAAGTGGACTAAAGCCTATAGGAAGACTGTTGGTAAAGAGTTGGCCATCGATCCTTCGTTTGAGTTTGAAAAAAGGAGACACGTTCCTGTAAAATATAGCAGAGAAACATTCTCAAAGGCCGTTGAAGCAATGAAGAAAGTTGAAACAATCCGACAGAGACGGCAGGGGGCTTATATTATGCAAAGGTATTAGCCAACAGAGTCATCTAATAGTTTATCATTAATAGGACTATACATAAACAAGAGTTTAACTAATCTTTGGAATATTTTTAATTATTTGGTTGTTTTTTTTTTCAGATTACGAAAGGGCAGAGAATTAGAACAAGAACGGGATGTTAAGGAAGTTCAAAGAGATCTTGCTCTTATCAGATCGCCAGCGGCAGGCCTTAAGAGAGCGCAACAGGATCAAGAAATGGCGGAAGAATCTAATAACGACAGTGAAAACGAGGAAGATATGGAAGGAGTTGTAGAGTACTGCGGAGAAGTTACTTTGTAAACATGTGTTATTAAAGTAATGTCACTGGATTACAGCTTCGGCCATTTACTTACTACCCATAATTACAATTTTCCTCTTATGTAATCACACAGAACCATCAAATAATTTTGATTATGTGAATTGGAAATAATACCTTTAATTAGGAGTGATTGTGTCTTGTTTGAGCCTCTCCGAATTTTTGGTTTTTCCTTTTTTTTACCTTAAAGAACACTGTGGATGAAAAGCTAATCGTACTGAAATCGTCTATAATCTGTGGTACTTAGAAAAAAACAGAAGTATAATAAGGTTAAGTTTGTGAAAGTTAGGTTAGCAGGTTAAATTCAGCTAAGGTTTTAGTTGGATAAAAACAGTTTGATAGGATAATTTTACGTTAAACTACCCAACCATGATCAACTTAACTCTGAAAAGAGTAACATCAAATTCCCGACTTCCTAGAAAAACGTTGGAACGATTATATTCCACCTCCCTAAACCCTGTGCAAAAAGACACTGAGGAACAGTATAATAAAGAGTTGAAAAGGTTTGATCGTTTGACGAATATTGAGAAGCGAACGAGGCCTAAAAAGCCACAACGAGAGCCGTTTGTGAAAAATTTGTTGGTCGGTAAGTACAAACTATGTACTAACACATAACACACAGTTCATACTTCTAATGGGCCGAAACCACTTCGATCTATCTAATTTTCGTATGGGTTTTAGGTAAATATGATAACGAAATATTGACTTTTCCTGAGCTAGACTTGGGAGAAGTAAGAAATGTGGAAAAGGCAGTTGAAGAACTAGGAAAAGTTTTGAAGCAAAATCATATGGTCAATGTATCCTCTATTGGAAATAAACAATTTAGGTAATACATTTTAAATCAGACCTTTGTAACTGTCAACTTACTAATGTGCTGGTTTTTAAGGCAAACTTTGGCTGATTATCAAGCTATTGGCTTACAATGTTCTCAATTTTTGGATGCCAAAGAATGCTGCCCAATGGAGTTTACCAGGTATCTGGATACACTAGCAGAACATAAATTAGGAGCCAACTTAATTGATAATGAAGTAATGGGTAAGTATGTGGCTACTAAAAGTATATATCTACAATATTCTAATAATCTAGTCTTAGCTTACACGATTATTCACGTTACAAAACGAACAAAGGTCCTAACTATTTGCTTTTACCAAGTCTTGTTTTTTAACGCTTTTGGATATAGGTTTTTGAGTTTCGGTACAGATTGGCTTGGACTTCATATCTCGGTTATTTGCAAAAATCAGAATGAATTGCAATGTTGTATTGTCCAACTTGTACCTAGACACTGTAAAACACATCCAACAATATGGTCAAGTAATCGTGATTTAACGTGAGTAACCGTGTAAATAGTCAGGTCTGAAATTGAAAAAAAAACTAATCGTATTTTAAGGTATTCAAGCGTTAAACACATTTGCAAATGTAGATTTACAAAAGAAATATTTATATCCGCTTATAAAAGGAGAAATGGTTTCCGCATTTGCTATAATTGAGAACGAATTATTCGATCTTAAAAATATGATGACCACTGCAGTTTTGTCGTCTGATAAAAAGCACTGGGTAAGTTTATCATTAACTCACTGCGGATTAGTAGCAGAATTATGCGGACTGAATCTTGGAGTCTACTTTTCTGACCTGTAGAAATGATCATAAGAATCGTAATGCTCACGAAAAGAGCGTTATCGATCTAAGTTAAAGGAATCTTGAGTAAATCTGATATGTTCTAGGTTTTGAATGGAAACAAATGCTTTGTTGTTAACGGGATTTCTGCAGATTTTTATGTAGTATTGGCTGTTAGTGAGAAAGCTGTCTTAGACAGTGAAACCGTAAATAGTCTGAGTGCCTTCATTGTTGAAAAAGACAGCAAAGGCGTCAGTTGGAAAAAATTGGAATCAGCTAATTTTGAAATAGCCGATATTACTTTTGATAATGTACAAGTTCCAGCTGGTATGTATGTAGTTTATAGCGTTATGAAAGCTCAGTTCAACGATATATTTATTGCATTTCTTGCGTTGGTTGTGTGGTTTTGCCTCCATTTTACAGCTAACAGGGCATTGGAATATTTTGAACAAGCACAATCTTTTTGGTTTAAATTCCTAATTCAATTCAAATGAACGTCATGAATTCGTAAAATCCAACTAACACTGTTGTGTAACACTACAACGAGCATATGTAGAATATGTTATTATGAACCGATACGATAGTTTCTTAAAAGGTTTTTATATTGTTAGAAAATTTATTGGGACCAAAGAATGCAGCTGAAAAAATTGCGGAAGATGTTATTGGGGGTATGAGAGTCAGTTGTGGTCCAGCATGCAATGCCATCTCAAGAAACATGCTTAACAAGCTTCACAACACTTTTGTTGAGAACTCTGGTGAATTTGATTTAACATCGACTGATGCGGTTAAATCGAAGTTGGGAGAGGTATATGTTGAAAATTTCTTAATTTCACATAATCTGATCTTGCATTGTTCAACATTTCCAGGTCACAATGCAGCTATATGCAGCGGAAAGTGTGACATATTTAACAGCAGGTCTTAAAGATTGGTATGAAAATCAAGACCTCGATGTTGAAAATGCTATTGTGAAGGTCTGAATTATAGTTCTTATTTTCAATGTGGTTGGTTTCAAACAAGCAAGTTTCAGGTTGTCAGTTCAGAAGTGGCGTACAACATTTCTACAACATGTTTACATATGATCGGATCACCAGCTGCTTTGAAAGATCACTGGGTCAGAAAGTGCCAAGATGATATCATAAATTATTTAACGCTGCACGAAACCAATGAAAGTCTTAGGATGTTCATATCTTTGAATGGCTTACAGCATACAGGAGTTAGTTTTTTTATTTTTTTTTGCCAATCCATTTTTTCCTGCATTTTTCTGCAAGATTAACCTTAGTGGCTTTTTAAGTAGTTATACAAATTTTCAGATTATGTTATCAGAGACGATAAAGAAATTTCGCAATCCTTTGCATCACGGACTCTTTATGCTTAAGAGCATGTTTCACCTACGCGATCAATACAATGATAAACCGAAACTTAACTATGAGTTGTACGGTAACCTTCATCCATCGTGCCATGAACCATCGAAGCAGCTTGAGTAAGTACAAAAAATATATTACGTTCAGTTTCAAGATGTTGCAAACCAAATTAAGTATATGTAACGTGATCAGATATTACTAGCAATGCATTCATTTCGCAGTATAATTAGAGTTGAAAGATATTTATACAATTTCTGTCAAAATCATCTAATGAATCGACAATCTTTTACGGTTTTAATTTATTTTGGTATCCGCTTTCTCTGGAGAATCAATGTGCTTATGTGCAAAACATTATGAATTTGGTTCGACCGAACATTGAACATTTTACCTATCTGGAATGTATCTTTATACATGTATTTTGTGTTTTAGATATTGCTGCAAGAGACTACAGTTTGTTGCAGACATATTACTAAGAAGACATGGTCTAGAATGTGTAAATAAGCATGCGGATTTAAGAAGAATTGCTGATATAATGATAGATTGTTACACCATGACGGCTGTTTTAGGTAAGCATTTTTAAATATTTTCTCATGGGTTCTACATTTCTATGATATTGTTTTTATATTCTCTAGCACGTGCGTCTCGGGCTTATTGCATAGGGCTCCAATTCTCAGCGTTTGAAATGATGATGGCATCTGTTTATTGCAATATCGCTACCGAGCGCGTGAAGGATAACGTAATGAATATAATGTATTCAGAATACAAAGCAAATGATACCAATTTTATCGCTATTGGAAAACGATTGATTGAGAGTAAAGGTCATTTTACCTGCAATCCCATCACTAGGTTCTTTTAGTTGAACATCTTTAAAAACTAGTTAATTGACATTTTTGGAATTTGCTTTCTAGATCTAATTAATTGCAATAATTCGGAATTTTGTAATATAATATGTTCTCACAGTGAATATTGTTTAATGCATGGAATGCTGATACTGTTGTGCGTTTTTAAATTATATGATTCATTATAAATGAAATGCATTTTGTTATCTACCATCGAGCAATTGAGAAATATATTGAATAAGAACAATTGTGTTCATTTCAGATATCCAAAAAATTCAACCTTCAATCTCTGAGTTCATTCAACCCAGAAAATTTCTGCAATCTGGTTGAAAAATATAATAATTTACAATTCCAAAATCAACATGTTTTAGATACTATGGAACGTCTATTAATTCCGAATAAATCTAGTATATCTCATTGTCATCGTTGGTGGGTTTTATTTTCGGCCATGATCTCATTTTCAGGACCCAACTTCCTTTCCATGTAATGTTTTTTAGGTGATATTGAAATTCGAGTTCCAGCAGTACTATTTTCAGGCAACCATTCCCAAATTTCAAATGCTTGGTAGTAGAATATGCAAATCAGGATTGCGATAAATAGTGATAAACCCATCGACAAAATGATAGCGCTGTAGACTTTAGGGTGCCTAAAAAGACAAAACTTGTGTGCTCCAAACCACACGATAAAAGTGAAAGCTTCAACAGGCGGGGCAAGACATTGATAATTAATATTATAAAACAAATATATTTTTTTCTATTTTTCTAAGTAAAATAACATTTGCAATATACAGAAAAACTATTGTGAAATTTATGATTCAAACATCTTTTAATTCTAATATCCATCTAACATGTGACTGACCTTACACAGTGTTTACAGGCGCATCCAGGAACGTCATCACTTGTGCTATCTAGAGAGTCCTCTTTTGAGTCATCCTGATCAGAATCTATCGACGCTGTTGAAATAGCACGATGTAACATCATGTTTAAGTGCAAATCAGTCTTTCCAATACAAGTTCTTTACGTGGCAAGCAATCTGACAAGTGACATATTGGCATCATGTATATTTTATACAGAAAGAACCGGAAAACCGTTTGAATTTCTTTGAATCACACGCAATCTGCTTTCACAATTGTTTTCAACTACTTAAACCATCGTATTCAATAGAGTCGTGTGAAAATGTCTAGTAGTAAAATAAGTCTGAAGTTTATGTCTTGTTCATCCTTTGTGGTGGGGACATAATATGTCAAAAGGGCGGCATAGATTGACCAACGAGAAGAATTATAGAGTACTAAATTTGTAGTGTAATAAAAAGTGTAATAAACCACGAAAAACCGCGAAGGTTTGGAACAGGGACAATTGGACAGCAACAAACAAATTAAAATATTGGGGAAATTAAGTAAAACTCACTCTGTACGCGTCACAGGTGAAAAGAAAATTACGAATGTCTGAAGTCAATTGATCGGCGACTTTGTCCTTACTGTCCACCAAAGCACAAAAGGACTGGGAAGGGGAGTTCATAAGCGAAAAAGCTGTACGGCCTTAAACAGCATTGGATCTGAATAAATTTAAACTAGTTACAAATAAATTAAATCTAGTCTGATGATTTTTATCTTTGAAGATCTTGATCTTTTTCGTGATGATCTATGCTGCTGTTTCCGGTTGAACTATCGATGGTGGCGCTGCAAAACGTCAAATTACCTGTTGTCGAGTGACAGTTACGTTAAGTTAGTTAAGACATGTCAGACTTGTTTATTTATTGGAGTTGATGACATTTACAACATAAAACAATGGTCGCATTCAGCAGACGATATCGATTATAAATCGCTGACTAATTTTCTGCTGAATCCTTCCGGAATCTTCGATGGCTCATCGGGCGCGATTTTTTCCATCAGTTTCAACCTTTGAATATAAAACTAACTTAGTAACTAAAACTTAGTTTTATATTCAAAGGTTTCAACCATAGAACAAGGCTTATAGGCTTATATAGGTTTCAACGTTCGATTAGTAATCGTGATTTTCGATTTGGTTACGTCGGACCAGCAGGATGACCAGACTGAGAAATGGCGGTGTCGCCAACTACCGGACGAATGTCACCAAAAATCACCAGTTTTGGTGCCAAGTAAACTCAAACGAGCTAAACAAAGCGGAACGGTTTAATTAAACAAGAACTTAATGTTTTTCTAACAAGTTGAACTGAAATTATATACCTATTGTCGTGCAGAGAAAGCCCAGTTACAGGGGAACCACATTCTGCTGTCAAAAGATAAAAAAAAATTGCGTGCAAGCTGCAGCGCGCGTATGGGATAGAAAACCCCGTTAACGGGGTTTCTTTTTAGTAGTCGGTAGTCTCAAATGCCATGAGCACAGAACATCCCTCCCGGGGAATGATCTGTGGCCATGAGAATCAAGTCAAAAATGTACATTCAGCAGAATTCAGCAAAAATGCCCATCATCACGTGACCGATGACTTATCGCTAACTCATCGATTTTGTCTGACGGCGACCAATACTTACACACTTTTCGATCTGTTTCTATTTTTTTAAAAGCTTGCAAAAGTTGATTCGGAACAAAACAAAACAAGTTACAATCAGTGAACACCAATGTGAAACCAATGTCAAATTCCTACTTAAGTTGTAGTTGTAATTTTAGCCACCAGGGGGCGTCTGAACTTTTGAACTCGCGAGGTCTGGGTTAAAGTGCAAACTGCAACATCAGCTTTCAGGGTGATTTAAGAACTCGTCTGTGACCCTGGTTGCTGTCACGGCATTATTGTCACTGTCTAAACGAGCCTTTAAATACAGATTGAAATTTGCATTCTAGCAAAGTTTTCATTGCTACCAAAGATGTTCCTAATTTGAATTAAATACTCATTAATGTTCGAAATTATTTTATTGCTAGATGATGTTACAGTTATGTTTCATAGTAGGTATTTAGCAATATATTAATTTACGCTACGGTCAGGACCACAGAACATTGAAAATACTTGTGCAAATATATATTTCCTGTTTTTATTAAACACTGGTAAATTTTACTTTGAACACTAGTAGTCTTTTACACTAAGCACGAAACAGCTTTACTAATTAATCATATAAAACATGTTATCTAAAGTTTGTCTTATAGTCTACCTCGAGAATAAAATATATATCTATTGTATATCACATTCCTTCTTTTAGCAAACAGTATACCTACGCGTACTAGCTAGTAACGCGTACTAACTAGTACTAAAACTACAACTTACTAGGAGTTCAAGTTACAACTTATCAATGCCCGACAGGGCAAAAGTACATATTTACTTCATCCAGAATCTTTCAGTTATGCTTGTAAGCTTCATAAGCTTTTTGAATTTAGTAATTAAGTAAGTAGATTAAGTCGAATACACACCCAGAATCAATGGAAGAATCGCAAGTTGTATTGGGCGATAAAGAGATCTTTAAAGGTGATTGAAGTAGACAGTTGTGTTGTGTCCCTTTGCAAGCGGTTATTTCCTTCCTAGATTACGTCTATTTTTCGTCCTACACCCTGATTTACAAAAAGATGCCAGAAAGGTTGCACAATAAATATCAACAGTGACAGTGTTATCTTATCTATCTCACAAATAATATTAGGACATCTATTCTAACTGCTTTTTTAGTGATCTGAAAGAGAAAAAATAAGTTGGAAATACAGCTAAATTTTGAAATCTAAGATAATATCTAATAAGTCTGTATATCAGGGGCGGATCCAGCTTTAAAGTGAGGGAGGGGGTCTTATGGAGAAAAAATACACTGTTATGTTATCTATGAAATTAGAAAAATGCGAAATTTGAATATCAGACACTTAGGTGCAAGATTATGCCAAAATTCCATGTTTTCAGTACCGTTTTTGCTCATTTCTCTGAGGCAAAATGAGCAAGAACGTTCATTTGTACATCATTCTAGACAGAAATAAATGGCCTTTTTAGAAAGTGAATCATCGATAAGGAAATGTTGGCAGTTTTCTCAAAAAATGCTTGAATTCAAGAAGTTTTAGATTTGCGTGGTTTTTTTTTGAGTTGCAAAATCCACTT